ATCTTGGAGATCAAACCTCTATCTGATGTATCATTAGCGAATATATTTTCCCATAGGGTTGCCTCCCTTTTCATTTTGCTGATGTTTTCTTTAGCCATGCAGACAATTCTTATTTTGATGAGGTCCCACTTGTTTATTCTTTCTTTTATGTTCCTTGCTCTAGGGGACATATTGGTGAATATATTGCTGGTTGAGATATCTGAGTTTACTGCCTATGTTCTCCTCTAGGACTTTTATGGTGTCGCTATGTATATTTAAGTCTTTTATCCATCTTGAGTTTATTTTTTGTGTATGGTGTAAGTTGGTGACCAAATTTCAATGTTTTGCATGTAGCTGTCCAGCTCTCCCAATACCATTTGTTGAAGAGGCTTTATTTACTCCATTTTATGCTTCTGCATGCTTTGTTGAATATTAATTGACCATAGAGACATGGGTTTATTTTGAGGCTCTCAATTCTGTTCCATTGATCTATGGGCCTGTCCTGATGCCAGTACCAGACTGTTTTGATTACAGTAGTCTTGTAATACAGTTTGATGTCCAGTATTGTGATCCCTCCTACTTTCTTTCTGTTTCTCAAAATTGCTGCAGCTATTTGGGGTCATTTATGGCTCCATATAAATTTTGAAATGTCTGTTCTATGTCTGTGAAATATGTCATTGGTATTTTTTTTCTTTCTTTCTTTCTTTATTTTTAAATACATTTGTCTCTGCCTCCCCCCCACCACTTTCCCTTGCCCCATCCTTCATTCCCTCCCTCAGCTCTTCCCCTTTGGTTTTGTCCATGAGTCCTTGCTATATGTTCCTTGACTTTCCCCTTCCCTTTCCTTTCCCTGCCCACCCCTTCCTCCTTCCCTCTTGTCTCTGTTGATTTCTTTTCCTTTCAGTGTTGCTGGTCATATTTTCTTTGCATCTTTGTATTGTTGGTTAGGTTCCGCTTATAGGTGAGATCATATGGTATTTGTCTTTCACTCCCTGGCTTATTTCGCTTAGCATAATGCTCTCCAGTTCCATCCATGCTGTTGCGAAGTTTAGTAGTTCTTTTTTTCTTTCTGCTGCGTAGTATTCCATTGTGTATATGTACCATAATTTTTTGATCCAATCATCTACTGATGGACACTTAGGTTGCTTCCAACACTTGGCTATTGTAAATTGTGTTGCTATGAACATTGGGGTGCATAGGTTCTTTTGTATTGTCATTGGTATTTTTAATAGGGATTGCATTGTATCTTTAAATTGCTATAGGTAGTAAGGGCATTTTGATGATGTTAATTCTTCCAATCCATAGACACCCTATATGCTTCCATTTATTTGTGTCTTCCTTAATTTATTTCTCCATTGTGTATAGTTTTCTACATACAGCTCTTTTATCTCTTTGGTTAAATTTATTCAGAGGCCCTTTATTTTTCTTTTTGCTATAGAAAATGGTATTTTTTTTCTGATTTCTGATTCTGATATTTCATTGTTGATGTACAGAAATATCTTTGATGATGAATATTGACTTTGTATCCTGCTGTTTTTCCAAATTCACTTATTAAGTTGAGTCATTTTTTTGGTGGAGTCTATAGGGTTTTCTATGTACACTTTCATGTAATCTGCAAACAATGATAATTTTATGTCCTCCTTTCCAGTTTGGAGGCTCTTCATTTCTTTTTCTTATCTGACCGCTGTGGCAAGGACTTCCAATACTATGTTGAATAAAAATGGTGAAAGTGGACATCCTCGTCTTGTTTGAGATCTTAGGGAAAAAGGTTTTAGTTTTTGCCTGTTGAGTATGATGTTGACTGTAGGTTTTTCATATATGACCTTTATTATGTTGAGGTATGTCCTGTTTATTCCCATTTTGCTGAGTGTTTTTTTTTATCATAAATCAGCATTGTACCTTATCAGATGCTTTTTCTGCATCTATTGAGATAATCATGTGGTTTTTGTCTTTCCTTTTTTAATGTGATGTATTACATTTATTATTTGCATATATTGAACAATCCTTGCATCCCTGGGGTGGATCCCACTTGATCATGATGGATGATCTTTTTGATGTATTGCTGGATGCAGTTTGCCAATGTTGTGTTGAGGATTTTAGCATCTATGTTCATCAGCAAAATTGACCTGTAGTTTTCTTTCTTTGTTGTGTCTTTATCTGGTTTTGGGATTAGGATGATGTTGGCCTCATGAAAAGAGTTTGGTAGTCTTCCCTCTTCTTGGATTTTTTGGAATAGTCTGAGAAGGACAAGGGTTAGCTCTTCCTTAAATATTTTGTAAAATTCTCCTGTGAAACTATCTGGTCCAGGTCTTTTGTTTGCCAGGAGCTTTTTAATTACTACTTCAATTTCTCCTGCTCTTACTGATCTGTTCAGGCTTTCTGCTTCTTCTTCATTCAGTGTTGGAAGATTATACTTTTCTAGAAATTTGTCCAGTTCATAGAGGTTTTCAAATTTCTTGGTGTATAATTTCTCATAGTAATTTTTTACAGTCCTGTATTTTTGGTATCAGTTGTTATTTCTCTTCTTTCATATCTGATATTATTATTTGGGTCCTCTCCCTTTTTATCTTGATGAGTTTGCATAAAGGCTTGTCAATTTTGTTTATCTTTTCATAGAACCAGCTCCTGGATTGGTTGATTCTTTGACTTGTTCTTTTAGTCTCTATGTCATTCAATTCTGCTCTGATCTTGATTACTTCCTTCCTTCTACTTGCTCTGGGATTTGTTTGCTGTTGTTTCTCCAGTTCTTGAAATTGTAGGTTTAGGTCTTTTATTTTATTTTATATTATTTTATTTTATTTTTTATTTTTTTAGGTAGGCCTGTATTGCTATGACCTTCCCTCTCAGGACTGTCTTTGCTGTGTCCAATAGGTTTTAGTCGGTTGTGTGTTCATTTTCATTGGTTTCCAGAAACTTTTTGATTTCTTCTCTTATCTCATTATTGACCTTTTCATTGTTTAATAGTCTACTGTTCAGTCTCCATGAGTTTGGAAGTTTTTGAAGTTTATCCTTGAGGTTGGTTTTCAGTTTCAAGCCCTTGTGCTCTGAGAAATTGTTTGTTATTATTTCAATTTTCCTGAATTTGTTGAGGCTTGCTTTGTGTCCTATAATGTGGTCTATCTTTGAAAAAGTTCCATATGCATTTGAAGAGAATGTGTATTTTGCTCCTTTGGGATATAAGGTTCTATATATGTCAGTTAAGTCCATTTGCTCTAATACATCATTTTGTTCCACAATATCCTTGTTTATGTTTTGCTTGGAAGATCTATCCATTGTTTACAGTGAAGTGTTAAAATCCCCTACTCCCTGTGCATTGCTGTCTATATCTTTCCTGAAGTCCTCCAAGATTTTTCTTATAAATTTGGATGCTCTAATGTTGGGTGCATATAACCTTACAATGTTTATGTCTCTCTGATGGATTCTTCTTTTGAGTATTATAAAATGGCCCTCTGTGTCTCTTTTTATGGCCTTTGTTTTGAGTCTTTTTGTCTGACATAAGTATGCTACCCCTTCTTTTTTTCCTACCATTTGCCTGGAACATTTTTTCCCCATCCTTTTACTTTCAGTCTGTGTATGTCGCTTGTTCTGAGTTGGGTCTCTTGTAGGCAGCATATATGTGGCTCATGTTTACTAATTCATTCAGCTATTCTGTGTCTTTTGATTGGGGCATTTAGCCTATTTACATTTAGAGTTATTATTGATAGGTACTCATTCATTTTTTTCCTTTTGTACCTGTGTTCTTTCTCACTCATTTTTTTTTTAGTCCATTCTCTTTAGCGTATCCTGTAGTGCTGGTTTGGTGGAGATGTATTCTTTTTATCTTCTTCTGTCCTGGAAACTACTTATTTCACTTTCCATTTTAATTGAGAACCTTGTTGGGTACAGCAGTCTTGGTTGTAGGCCTTTGTTTTTCATTACTTGGAATATTTCTTGCCATTTCCTTCTGGCTTGTGGTGTTTCTGTTGAGAAGTCAGCTGCTAGCCGTATCAGGGTTTCCTTATATCTTACTACCTGTTTCTCCCTTGTTGCCTGTAGGATTCTTTCTTTGTCTTTGATATTTGCCATTTCAATGATGATGTGTCTTGGAATAGGCCTCATTGACGTTCTCTTGAATGGGGTCCTCTATGCTTCTTGGACTTGTGTGCCTTTTTATCTCCTCCAATTAGAGAAGTTTTCCATCGTTAATATTTCAAACAGTTTCTCTATCCCTTCCTCCTCTTCTTCTCCTTCTTGTATCTCTGTTATGCAGATATTATTATGTTTCAGGTTGTCCTCCATTTCCCTAAACACTTCTCCTTTTTTTTGAGTTTTTTCCATATCCTCCTTTTCTGGGTGCTTTTTTCTTCCTTGTCCTCTAGCTTGCTGATTCAATCTCTGCTTCAGCTGCCTGTTTTTGCTTCCATCTACTATGTTTTTCAATTCAGAAATGGTATTCTTCATTTCCTCTTGTATCTTATTGATAGTTTCTATGTCTTTTTCATGTTGATATAGTTTGCAGTAAGTTCCTCATAGTTTCCTTGTAGTTTTTCATATTTATCTTTGAGCTCACTGAGCTCATTGATCTTCCTTAGAATGATTGTTTTGAATTCAATATCTGATAGTTTACCTGCCTCGTTTTCATTTAGTTCTCCCTGTGAGGATTCCTCCTTTCTCCTCATCTGGGTGTGTTTCTTTTCCTTCCCATTATTTGTGAGACTCTTCTTTTTGGTTTCTGCTTCTTAAATTGATCTGTCTTGATTTCCTGATTTTGTGGATTGAACTTCTATGGTAGTAGGATGGTCATTTTTTTTTTCTTTTCTTTCTGGGTCTGCCTCTGACAATTTCAGTTGTTGACTCTGTCTGACCTTAGGCAGTGCGTTTGAGACTTTGAGGAATCTACTGTCTGTGTCTGTCTCCTGCAATTGTTAATCTAGTCGTTCTGCTCTCAGCTGTTAGGCTTGGGCACCACAGGGCAGGGCTGTGCCTCCTGAGGGCTATTGTGTCCTTACAGGCTGCTCAAGGGAGTGGTCTGCCTGAGCAAGATGGAGACCATGGAATGGGAAAGGAGTCGGCACTGGGATTCCCCTGGCTACTGCCTTAGTTCTCTCCCCAGTGCTTCCAACTCCAGTTTCTCCTCAAGGTCTCTCAGAAGCTTTGTGTCACCTTTGCTAATGTTTCCTTTATGCCTGAGTGAGAAGGAAGTTGCACAGTGGGAGGTGAGCCATCACGGGGGCCCTACTGGCCACCATCTCAGTTCTCTCCACAAAGTTTTCCTCATCAATCTTTCCTCTGGCTCCAGCCCACTCTGCTCCTGTCTCTGCCCAGAGACCAAGGAAGGTCGCTGCCACTGCAAATTATTGCATTCACCCTTTAAACCTCTTTGCATCTCCAGCCACCTGTCTCTGGCAGAGAGCACCACTACGCTTTTCACAGTTGTCTGTTTTCTGTATCCTTTTTTGGGCTCAGATGTTGTAGTCTAGAGGTCCCTGCTTATGATTCAGACCCTGTTCTTTTGAGGGGGATCCAACTGGCCATTTCAATATCCCTCTGGTGCTGGTACCTGTGGGTGCCCAGCCTACCCTCTCGAGCCTCCACCACACTTCTTACCTGTTAGGATGTATGAAAACTGATTCTACTGTCTGTCTGAGGTTCTAAGGCTCCTCTCTCACTATCATTTCATTGCTTTCCAGGTGATTTCTCCACAATTTAGTTGTAATTCCAGTTTGGTCCTGGGAGGAGTTCAGTGTGACTTCCACTCACTTCTCTGCCATACTCTCTCATTCTAAAGTGTGTCAAGTTTCTTAATTTTCATGAGTGGGTGAAGGCATATTTTAACTTAGAGTTTTTAAATGAACAAAATTTATTTCATATATATTTTGAAAACTAAATTAAAAACAACATTAATACCATTAAATCACTGGTAAAATGGAAGTCAAAAAGATATTTTATATTTTATGATATCTTTTTAAATGATATTTTAAAGATATGATATGATCTTTTTCAGATGTTTTGTTGCTGGTATATACAAGTGCAACAGATTTTTATATGTTATTTTTATAAAGTATCATATAAAATAAGAACAAATAAGAATGGATTTTGAAATAGACTTAACAATGTCAACAGTTCTATGAGTGACAAGTTGAGAGTCCTTTTACGTTGATTAAAATTAATAGTCAAAATTAAAATGTTCCAGAAGTTTCATGCCAAAAATAAAGTCAATAAATTAGAGATCAATGAATCAAATCAATCAGAGCATACTGTTTTTGAAAAGATTTTATTTATTCATTTTTAGAGAGAGAGGAAGGGAAGGAGGCAGAGAGGAAGGGAAACATCAATATGTGCTTGCTTTCTGAGTGCCCCCACTGGGGATCTCACCAGAAACCAGGTATGTGTCCTGACTAGTCATTGATTCAGCAACACTTTGGTTCACAGATCGGCACTCAATCCACTGAGCCACATCAGTCAGGGCAAAAAGAATACTGTTTTGATTACTGTAGTTTGGTAATATAGATTGAAAAAAAATGTTATGCCTCCAGATTTTTCTTTTTTCTCAGGGTTTCTTTAGCTATTTGTGATTTTGTGGCTCCATACAAATTTTAGGATTTTTAAAAAATTTATATGAGAAGCGCTGTTGAGTTTCTGATAGGGATTGCTTTGAATCTATGAATGACTTTGGTTAATAAGAGTAGTTTAACAATATTGATTCTTCCAATCTATTAAAACAGGATGTCTTTCTATTTCCTTGTGACTGCTTCCATTACTTTCATCAAAGACTTGCAGTTTTCAGTGTACAGATCTTTAACCATCTTGGTTAAATTTATTTCTGAGTATTTTATTCCTTTTATGTTGTTGTGAATGGCATGGTTTCTTTATTTCTTTTTCAGATGTTTTGTTGTTAGTATATAGAAATGCAACAGATTTTTGTATGTTGATGTATTCTGCAACTTTACTAAATTTGTTGATTAGTTCTAGCAGTTTTTTTTTTTGTGTGGAGTTTTTAGAATTTTCTTTATATAAGGTCATATAATATGCAAACAAAGACAAATGTCCTCTCTCTAATTTGGAAGATTTTAATTTTTTTCTTGTTTGACTTCTTTGGCTAGGGTTATATTGAATGGTAATGGTGAGAGTGGGCAGGCACCCTTGTGTTGTTTCTGATCTTGAAGGAAAATGCTTTTAATGCTTCACCATTAAATATGATGCTGATTGTGGGTTTGTCATATATGGCCTTTATTGTGTTGAGGTATTTTTTTTCCATGCCCATTTTTGGTGCATTTTTTATTATAAAAGATTGTTGTATTTGTCAAATGCTTTTCTTGTACCTCTTGAGATAATATGATCTTACTCTTCTATTTTGTAAATGTGATATACCAGTAATACATTTATTAATTTACATAAGTTGCATCATCCTTTCATTCCAGAGATAAACCTACTTGGTGAGTGATCCACTTAATTCATTGCTGAATTTGGTATTTTAAATATTTTGTTGGAAATCTTTGCCTCGGTATTGTTAGGGATATTGATTTGCAATTTTCTTTTCTTATACAATTGTCATCTGCCTTTGGTAACAGGGCAATTCTGGCCTCATAATGAGTTTGGGAGAGTACCCACCTCTTAAGTTTTTTGGAAGACTTTGAGAAGGATTGATATTAATATATTTTTTAGATGTTTGGTATAATTCACCTGAGAAACCATCAATTGGGAGAATTTTGTTTACTTATTAAATCTTCTTAATCATATTGGTCTATTCAGATTTTCTATTTCATTGTCATTTAGTTTTGGTAGGTTGTATATTTCTAGGAGTTTATCCATTTTTTGTGAGTTATGCAGCTTGTTGACTTATAGTTGTTCATGGTGGTCTCTCATGATTCTTTGCATTTCTATTGTATCAATTATAATGTCTACTCCTTCATTTCTGAATTTCCTTATTTAGTCTTTCCTTTTTATTTGAATTATTCTAGCTAAAATTTGTCATTGATCATCTTTTCAAAATGTCAGCTTTTTGTTTCACTCAGCCTTTCTATTGCTTTTTTCCTTGTCTTTATTTCATGGATTTTTTGCTGTGAACTTCTATTCCTTTTCATAACTTTGGGTTTCTTTGTTCTTCTCTTGCTAGTTTTTTGAGGTGTAAAGTTAGGTTGTTTATTTGATATTTTTTTCTTGTTTCTTGGTGTTTATAGCTATCAATTTCCCTCTTCAAACTGCTTTTGCCACATCCCCTGGGTTGATATATTGTGCTTCTATTTTCATTTGTTACAAGATATTTACTTTTTTTTTTTTTTGCCCTAGTTTTGTTCAAGAGCATGTTACTTAATTTCTACATTTTTGTGACTTTTTCAGGTTTTCTTCTGTTATATATTTTTAGTTTCATATCATCACAGTGAGGAAAAAAAGGTGGTATAATTTAATTCTTCTTGATTTTGAGAAGATTTTTTTGGGACCTATAACATGATATATTCTGAAGAATGCTGTGTGTGTGTGTGTGTGTGTGTGTGTGTGTGTGTGTGTGTGCGCGCGCGCGCGCGCGCGCCCGCGCGCGCGCACCGGCGAATGAGCATGCACATTCCTGAGGCGATGTGTTTCTGCTGTGGTGTTCATTTTGTTTAAAATATTAATTCATTTCTGTTTGCGGGATATTAAAACTATCTACAATTATTTTATTGTGGTCTATGCCTCTCTTCAGTTCTGTTAATATTTGTTTGGCATATTAAATGTTCCAATGTTAGGTGTATATATATGTATGCTGGTAAGAGCTTTTTGATGATTTGATCCCTTATCATATAATAGCCAATTTTTGTCTCTAATTATTATTTTTGGTTAAAAACCTTCCATATATAGTAAAATAATATTTGACAAGAGAGTCAAGACTACTAAAAGGGGGAAGGATAATCTTTTCAATAAATTTTGTAAAGAAAACTTGATTAAACTCATGAAAAAAATAAAGTTGTAATTGTATGTTTCATTATTTAAAATATTTTTCTTTTACTGTTCAAATACATTTGTCTCCATTTTCCCACCACCAGTTAACCCTTCACCACCCACCCCCACCTCCTTCCATCAATCTTTCCTGACTTTGGCTTTGTCCATGGGTCCCTTACGCATGTTCCTTGATTTGACCCTGCCCCTTTCTATCCTGTTACTTCCTTCCCTCCTTCCCTAACACCACTGTCACATTTTTTTTAATCTTTCCAAGTTGCTGTTTATATTTTCCTTGATTGACTGTTTTGTTGATTAGGTTCTTCTTATACATAAAATCATGGTATTTGTCTTTCACCCACTGGCTTATTTCATTAGCATAATTCTCTCCAGTTTCATCCATGCTGTTGTGAAGGGCAGTAGCTCTTTCTTCCTTTCTGCTTCATAGTATTCCATTGCTTAAATGTACCATAGTTTTTGACCACTCATTTACTGATGGGTACTTAGGTTGCTTCCAGCACTTGGCTACTGTAAATTGTGTTGCTATGAACATTGGGATGAATAGGTTCTTTTTTTTTTAATTTTTTTTTAATTTATTTTTTCAAATACATTTGTCTCTGCCTACCCCCCACCACTTTCCCTTGCCCCCTCCCTCCTTCCCTCCCTCAGGTCTTCCCCTTTAGTTTTGTCCATCAGTCCTTGCTATAGGTTCTTTTGAATTAGTGTTTTGGGATTCTTAGGGTGTAATCCAAACAGTGCAATAGCTGGGTCAAAAGGCAGTTCCATTTTTAGCTTTTTGAAGAAATTCCAAACTATTTTCTATGGTGGCTGCACCAGTCTGCATTCTCACTAACAGTGTACTAGAGTATCCTTTTCTCCACAACCTCACCAGCACCCATTGTTTGTTGATTTGTTTATCTGACCATTCTGCACCAGTTTGAAATTGTATCTCATTGTGGTTTTAATTTGCATTTGTCTGATGACTAGTGATGCTTAGTATCTGTTCATATGTTTCTGGGCCCTGTGTATGTTCTTCTTGGAGAAGTGTCTGTTCAAGTCCTTTGCCCATTTGTCAATTGGATTGTTTGTCTCCCTGGATGGAGTTTTGTAGGTTCTTTCTATATTTTGAAGAGCAAACCTCTGTCCAAAGTATCACTGGCAAATATATTATCCCATATGGTTGGTTCTCTTTTCATTTTGCTGATGTATTTTTTTAGACTCGCAGAAGCTTCTTATTTTGATGAAGTCCCACTTGTTTATTCTTTCCTTTATGTCCTTTGATATAGGGGACATATCTATGAAAATATTACTGCATGGGATATCTGAGAGTATCCTGCCAATGTTCTCCTCTAGGACTTTTATGGTGTTGTGACTTATATTTAAGTCTTTTATCCATCTTGAGTTTATTTTTCTGTATGGTATAGGTTGGTGGTGTAATTTCAACTTTTTTTCATGTAGCTGTCCAGTTCTCCCAATACTATTTTTGGAAGAGACTATTTTTACTCTATTTTATGCTTCTGCCCCTTTTGTTGAATATTAATTGACCATAGAGACATGGGTTTATTTCTGGGCTTTCTATTTTGTTCCATTGACCTATGTGTCTGTTCTTACGCTAGTACCAAACAGTTTTGATTACAGTGGCTAGGTAATAAAGGTTGATGTCAGATATTGTGATCTCTTCTGCTTTGTTCTTCTTTCTCAAAATTTCTGTGGCTATTCAGGGTTGTTTGTGCTTCCATAAATTTTTTTGAATGTTTGTTCTATGTCTGTGAATACATCATTGGTATTTTAATAGGGATGACATTGAGTCTATAAATTGTTTTGAACAGTATGGACATTTTGATGATGTTAATTCTTCCAATCCATGAACACACTATATCCTTTCAATTATTTGTGTCTTCCTTAATTTCTTTTTTTCAGTGTTGTACAGTTTTCTGGGAAGAGGTCTTTTACCTTCTTAGCTATGTTTATACTTAGGTCCTTTATTTTTCTTGTTGTTACAGCAAATGGGATTTTTGTCCTATTTTCCTAATCTGATATTTCATTGCTGGTGTACAAAAATGCCTTCAATGATGAATATTGACTTTTTATCCTGCTGTTTTGCCAAATTCAGTTATTAGGTTGAGTAGCTTTTTGGTGGAGTCTATAGGGTTTTCTATGTACACTTTCATGTCATCTGTAAACACTGATAGTTTTACTTCCTCCTTTCCAATTTGGATGCTTTTCATTTCTTTTTCTTGTCTGATCCTTGTGGCTAGGACTTCCAATACTATGTTGAATAGGGGTAGTGAAAGCAGACATACTTGTCTTGTTCCTGATAGTAGTGGGAAAGCTTTTAGTTTTTACCCATTGAGTATGATGTTGTCTGTAGGTATTTCATATATGGCATTCATTATGTTGAGGAATGTCCTCTTTGTTACCATTTTGCTAAGAGTTTTTATCATAAACAGCTGCTGTACCTTATCAAATGCTTTTTCAATATCTATTGATATAATCATGTTTTTTTTTACTATCCTTTTGTTTATGTGATGTATTATGTTTATTGTTTTGTGAATATTGAACAGTCCTTGCATCCCTGGGATGAATGCCACTTGATCATGGTGGATGATCTTTTCAATGTATTGCTGGATGTGGTTTACCAATATTGCATTGAGGATTTTAGTGTCTATTTTATCAGTGATGTTGGCCTGTAGTTTTTTTTTCTTGGTTGTGTCTTTAATAAGTGTAGGGATTATGTTGATGCTGGCCTCACAAAAAGAGCTTGGGAGTCTTCTGTCTTCTTGCAATTTTGACACAGTCTGGGAGGGACAGGGGTTAGGTCTTCCTTAAATGTTTTCTAAAATTATCCTGTGAAACTGTCTGGTTCAGAGCTTTTGTGTGCAGGGAGTTTTTTGATTACTGCTTCAATTTCAGTAGCTGTTTTCAGTCTGTTCTGGCTTTCTGTTTCTTCTTATTCAATGTTGAAATGTTATATTTTTCTAGAAATTTGTCCATTTTACCCAGGTTTTCAATTTTTTGGCATATAATTTTTCATAATAAATTCTTACAATCCTTTTTATATCTGTGGTATCAGTTGTTATTGCACTCTCTCATTTCTGATATTTTTAATTTGGGTATTCTCCCTTTTTATCTTGATGAGTCTGCTTTAAGGCTTGTTGATTTTGTTTATCATTTCAAGGAACCAGCTCCTGGGTGTGTTGATCCTTTGAATTTAGTCTCTGTGTCATTCAGTTCTGCTGTGATCTTGATTATTTCCTTAATTCTACTTGCTCTGGGCTCTCTTTATTGTTGTTTCTCCAGTTCTTGTAGCTGTCATGTTAGGTCATTTTTTTTTTAAAGTTTCTATCTTTTTAAGGTAGGCCTGGATTTTTATGTACTTCCCTCTCAGAACTGCTTTTGCTGTGTCCCATAGGTTTTGGACTGTTGTATGTTCATTTACATTTGTTCCCAGAAAGTTTTTGATTTCTTCTCTTATCTAATTTTTGACCCATTAATTGTTTAATAGTGTGCTATTCAGTCTCCATGAGTTTGAATCTCCACGCAGGCATGCAGCCACGCCTTCATTACCAGGTACCTACCAAGGCCAGTGGGCCGGTGGCATACGGCATGGCTACGGCGTGCGCCAGAGCGTGCCCTATGGCATGGCTACGGTGATCCGCTCGCCCCTGCGCACCTCGCTGGCCTCGCTGCGCAGTGAGCAAAGCAATGGCAGCGTGCTCCACGACGCAGCTGCAGCTGCCGATAGTCCAGCCGGCACCCGCGGTGGCTTCGTGCTCAACTTCCATGCCGATGCTGAGCTCGTGGGCAAGAAGAAGGGCGGCCTCTTCCGCAGGGGCTCCCTCCTGGAGAGCATGAAAATTCGCAAGTCCGAATCCAAGTCTTCCATTTCCAGCAAGCGCAGCTCGGTCCGCAGCGACGCGGCCATGAGTAGAATTAGCTCCAGTGATGCCAACTCCACCATCAGCTTTGGCAACGTCGACTGTGATTTTTGCCCCGTGGAAGACCATGTGGACGCCACCACCACGGAAACCTACATGGGGGAATGGAAGAACGACAAACGCAATGGTTTTGGCATCAGCGAGCGCTCTTATGGCATGAAGTATGAGGGCGAGTGGGTCAACAAGAGGCATGGCTACGGCTGCACCGTGTTTCCCGATGGCTCCAAGGAAGAGGGGAAATACAAAAATAATATTTTGGTCCGTGGAATAAGGAAGCAGCTTATACCAATAAGAAATACAAAAACTAGGGAGAAGGTGGACAGAGCTATAGAAGGCGCACAAAGGGCAGCTGCCATGGCGAGAACCAAAGTGGAAATAGCCAATTCAAGTGTGGCCCAGAGACACCAAAGATTGGACACCCCTGCGAGCCTTCGTCATCAAAGAGTCGAAAAGTTTGAATTTTCAAACTTTTTTTGCATTTTTCTCTTGTGGTTATTTTCTAGTTTAAAGCCCTTGTGGTCCAAGAAAGTGCTTGTTATGATTTCAATATTCTTGAATTTGTTAAGACACATGTATCCTACCATCTGATCTATCTTTTAAAATGTTAATTGTGCATTTGAAGAGAATTTGCATTTTGCTTCTTTGGGATGAACGGTTGTATGTATGTCAGTTAAGTCCATTTGATCTAAAACATTGTTCAGTTCCACAATATCCGTGTTGATGTTGTGTTTAGAAGATCTCTCCATTGTTAACTGTTGGGTGTTAAAATCACTTACTATCAGCATTGTGCTGTCTTTATCGTTCTTGAAGACAGCAACAACCTCCAAGATTTTCCTTATATTTTTGGGTGCTCCTGTGTTGGGTGCACAAAGGTTGACAATGTTTATGTCTTCTTGATAGATTCTTACTTTGAGTTTTATGAAGTGGTCTTCTTGGTCTTTTTTCATAGCCTTTGTTTAGAAATCTACTTTGAATGATATAAGTATTGCTACCCCGGCTTGATTTTCCTGTACATTTACTTGGAATATTTTTTCCATCCCTTTATTTTCAGTGTGTGCAGGTTCTTTGTTTTGAGGTAGGTCTCTTGTAGACAGCATATCTGTAGCTCATGTTTTCTTGTCCATTCAGCTCTCTTATGTCTTTTGATTGGGGCATTTAATTCATTTACACAAAGTCATTATTGATAGGTAAGTATTCATTCTTTCCCTTTCTACCTGTGATCCTTTCTTCCTCACTCTTTTTCTTCATCTTCTTAAAGCAGCTCTTTTATCATATCTTGCAATGCTGGTTTGGTGGAGCTGTATTCTTTTAAACTTCTTTTGTCTGGGAAACTCCTTCCTTTGCCTTCCATTTTAATTGAGAGCTTTGCTGGGTAGAGCAGTCTTGATTGCAGGCCTTTGCTTTTCATGACTTGGAATATTTCTTGCCACTTTCTTCTGGCTTGTAGTGTTTCTGTTGAGAAGTCAGCTGCTAGCGATATCAGAGCTCCCTTAAATGTTACTACCCATTTCTCACTTGCTACCTTTATGACTCTCTTTCTTTGATATTTGTCATTGTAATGATGATGTTTTCGGAGTAGGAGTAGAACTTATTGAGTTCCTCTTGAATGGGTCCCTATTTCCTTCCTGGTCTTGTAAGAATTTTTCTCTCCTCCAATTAGGGAAGTTTTCCATCATTACTTTTCAAACAGTTTCTCTATCCCTTCCTCCTCTTGTTCTCCTTCTCATATCTGTATTTTACGAGTATTATTATGTCTCAGGTTGTCTTGCATTTCCCTCAACACCTCTTCATTCTTTGAGTCTTTTTTCATTTTCTTGCTTTTTTATGGGAGTTTTTTCCTACTTTGTCCTCCAGCTCAGTCATTTGATCCTTTGCTGCATCGAGCCTTCATTTATTTCCTCCTACTGTGTTCTTCAATTCGGAAATGGTATTTTTCATTTCCCCTTGTCTTTTATTGACATTTTCTGTCTTTTTTCATGCCGATATGGTTTACAGTAAGTTCCTCATAGTTTCCCTGTAGTTTTTGGTAATTCTCTTTCAGGTCACTGAGCTCACTGAGCTTCTTTCGAACCAATGTTTTCATCTCAATATATGAATGTTTACTTGTCGCTATTTCATGTACTTCTCTTTGTGGGGATCTCTCCTTTCCCTTCATATGGCGGTTGTTATTTTGTTTTCCAATTATTTGTGGGACTACTCTTTTCTGCTTTTGTTTCTTAAATTGATACATCTTGACTTCCTCTGTTTGTGGTGAGAACTTTATGGGAGGAGATCACTCTTTTTTTTTCTGTCTGGATGCCTCTGATGATTTCAGCTTTTGAGACTGACTGACCTTAGGCAGTGATTTTTTTGACTTCCAGGAATCTACTCTCTGTGGCTCTGCCCTTCTGTTGTTAGTCTAGTCACTCTGCTCTCAGCAGTCAGGCTGGGAGTGGTCTGCCTGAGCAAGATGGCTGCTGGTGTATGGGGCAGAAGTCAGCATCAGGTTCTGGTTGCCTACTCCATCAGTTCTCTCCCCAAAGCCTCCATTTCCAGATTGTACTCAATCATTTCTAGATCAGTTGGTGCCCCCTTTGCCAGGGAGCTACTATCTGTTACTGCCACACCGTACTCAACAGTTGGCCTTGAGTACTACCACTGAGGCAGAGCCGCTTGGGGGAGGGGCTATCATGTCCTCTCATGTTGTTCCTGCTCAAGGGAGTGGTCTGCCTGAACAAGATGGGTGCTGCTGTATGGGAGAGGGGTCAGCACCAGGTCCTTGCCTGCTACTCCCTCAGTTCTCGCTCCAAAGACTCCTTCCTCACTCTTTCTTTAGGCAGCTCCAGCTCACTCTGCCCTGGTCTTTGCCACAGCCCAGGGTAAGTGGATGCTAATACAAACTTATTTGTTGGCCCTTTAAGTGGATCTTCAGCCACTTGTTTTGCGTCTCCAGCTGCTCATCTCTGGTACAGAACAACCTTGCCACTCTTCACAAGTGGCTGTTATCTGTGTCCTTTTTCAACTCTGGTGCTATACGCTGGAAATCCCGGACTATGGTTCAGATCCCACTCTTCTCAGAGGGATCCAATTGACCATTTAAATATCCCTCTGGCACCGCCATCGGTGGGTGCCCAGACTGCCTTCTTGAGTCTCTACTGCACTCCTTACCACATTGTACTAAAGCGTATTTTTCTTTTGGTCTGAGGTTTTAAAGCTCTTTCCTCACTATTCAGTTGTTTGTCCCAAGTGATTTCTCCACAATTTAATTGTAATTCCAGATGGGTCCTGGGAGGAGGTCAATGTGACTTCCACTCACTCCTCTGTCATCTTGCAGTCCTCTTTCACTATTTTTTTATTTTTATTTTTAAGTATATTTTATTGATTATGCTATTACACTTGTCCCATTTTTTCCACTTTATCCACTTCAGCCTGGCAACCCCCATTCCCTCCAGCATTTATCTCCCTTAGTTCATGTTCATGGGTCACACATATAAGTTTTTTGTCTACCACATTTCCTATAGTATTCTTAACCTCTCCCCTGTCTATTTTGTACCTATAAATTATGCCTCTTATTCCCTTCACTTTTCCTCTCTTCTCCTCCTTCCCCCTTCCTGCTGATGAAGCTGCATGTTATCTATATTTCTGTTTTTCTCTTCTTCTTCTAGTTGTTTGCTCAGATTGTTTTTGCTTTTGTATCTTTTAGGTTCAGTTGTTGATAGTTGTGAGTTTGTTGTCATTTTACTGTTTATAATTTTGATATTCTTTTTCTTAGACAAGTCCCTTTAATATTTCACATAATAAGGGCTGAATAGAAGGTCTGTAATCATAAAAATTTCTTTTAAAAAGGGGAGAATCAGGAGAGAATCAACATGGTGGAGGAGTGAGTGGAAGTCACACTGATCTTCCAGGGCCAATCTGGAATTACAACTAAATGGGGGAGAAATCACCTGGAAAAAACAACTGAACAATAGTGAGAGAGAAGCCTTATAACCTCAGACAAATAGAAGAATCATCTTTAGCACAATCTAATTGGTAAGAAGTGTGGTACAGACTCAAGAAGGCAGGTGGGGCACCCATAGCAACAGAATGATATTGAAATGGCCAGTTGGATCCCACTGAGAAAAACGAGTTCTAAACCATAAGTGGGGATGTCCAGCCAACAGCACAAGAGCCTAAATAGTACACAGATAACAGCCAGCTGCAAAATGCATCAGGCTTGCTCTCCACCAGAAACAGACAGCTGGAGATGCAAAGAGCTGTATAAAAGGACAACACATAGATTTTTATTTGCTGCCACTTACCTTGGGCTTCTCCATAGGCAGGGGCAGAGTGAGCTAGAAACACCCGAGTAGAGACTGGAGAAGAAGGCTTGGGGGAGAGAACTTATAGAGTAGCCACCGGGATCCTGGTGCTGAATCATTGCCCATGCAGCAGTAGCCATACTGCTCAGGCAGACCACTACCTTGATGAGCAACAAAGTGAGAGGGTCCAATAACCCCTGCCTTCAGAAGGGTCTTGTCCCTGTCCTGTGGTGTTCCTAAGCTGGCTTGTGAGTGCAGAGTGGGATCCACAGATAGTGAATCCCTGGCTAAAGGGGGGTACAGAATGGTCTAGAGACACTTGAGGAAGGACTGGAGATGGAGGCTTTGGGGAAAGAATGGAGAGAGTAGCTGGCAGGATCCTGGTGCTGATTCCTCTCCTACATAGAAGCAGCTCTCTGGCTCAGACAGACCACTCCCCTGAGCAACAGCAGCACGAAAAGATGCAATAACCCCACCCCCAAGACGGACTCTGTCCTACCCTGTGGTGTCTCTAAACCAGTCAGCTGATTGCAGAGGGAATAATTAATAGCTGAAAGAGACAGCCACAAACAGTAGATTCCTGAAAGTCTTAGACAGATTGCTTAAAGTCAGACGAAATCAAGATCTATATCATCAGAGGCATATCCCGAAAGAGAGAAATAAAACCCAAAACAAAAACCCAGCAGTCTCCTGCCATAGGAGTTCATGCCACAAAGTCAGAAAATCAAGACAGATCAACTGAAGAAGAAGGAGCAAAAAAGCAGAGCTTCACAAAGGATGGGAAGATGAAGAAATACTACTCATTCAAAGGGAAAGCAGGAATCCATAGAAAGAGAACTAAATGAAATAGAAGCAAGTATAGTATCAGACTTTGAGTACAAACCAATGGTCCTCAGAGAGAATTACCAGAAACTACAGGGAAACTACAAAGAACTTACCACAAACTATACCAGCATGAAAAATGACATAGAAACTATCAATAAGAGACAAGAGGAAATGAGGAATATAATTTCTGAATTAAAGAACACAGTAGAAGGAATCAAAAGCAGGTTAGATGAAGCTGAGGACTGAATCAGCGAGCTGGAGGACAAGGTAGAAAAAAGCTCCCAGAAAGAGCAAGAAAATGAAAAAAGACTAAAAAAGAATGAAGAGGCATTGAGGGAAATGCAGGACAACCTGAAATGTAATAATATCTATACAATAGGGATTCCAGAAGGAGAGGAGGATGAGAAAGGGATCGAGAGCCTGTTTGAAAAGGTAATGATGGAAAACTTCCCTCATTTGAGGATAGAAAAAGTCACACAAGTTCAGGAAGCACAGAGGGTCCCTTTCAAGAGGAACCCAATGAGGCCCACTCCAAGACAAATCATCATTAACATGACAAATATCAAAGACAAACAGAGAATTCTAAAGCAAGCAAGGGAGAAAGAGGTAGTAACATATAAGGGAGCCTCAATACAGCTAGCAGGTGACTTCTCAACAGAAACACTGCAAGCCAGAAGGGAATAGCAAGAAATATTCCAAGTCATGAAAAGCAAAGGCCTGCAACCAAGACTGCTCTACCCAACAAGGCTCTCAGTTAAAATGGAGGGTGAAATAAGGAGTTTCCCAGACAAAAGAAGTCTAAAAGAATACATCTCCACCAAACCAGCATTCCAAAATATGCTAAAGGGACTTCTTTAAGAATATAAAGAAAAAGAGTCTATGAAAATTCAGTTCCTTTCACAGTCACCAACACTTGATATTACCAATATTTTTAATACTTAGTAATCTGATTGTGACAATGATGTGTTATTTTAAGTGTTACTTTATTATTTGTTGAAACTGTACTTGTTTTTGTATATCTTTATCTATTTCTATTATATTTCAAAAGCTTTAAATTATTTTTTTAGTATTCTTAATCCATTTTTTGATTAAATGTTTGTAGAATTTAAGCCTTAAGGAAAAAATAACTAGGTACACTATTACAGATGTGTTGAAATATTTTTCTATTTTTTTACTTCTCCTTTAACTTTCTTTATAGATATATTACTGTATAGTTTTAAATGTTTAATATGGTCATATTGTCAATATTTTACTTTATAGTTTCTGGATTTGAATATGTTATTCTATTACTTCTGGGTAAGAGAATTATTATTTTGAATTTTTTCAGGAAACTCCTTAGATTTTACATATTTACTTTTAACTCACCTGAATATCTGTCATATAGTCTGTGAAACAGGGCTTTATATATTTTTTTTAATTTTAAGTAATACTGGCCCATGCACCTTAGTTTTTGAATGTCTTATTTTCCCCATTGATTTGAAATATCAATTTTATCATATGTTACATTGTTAGACAGATTTTATATATCTAGAAACAAATATATATATATATTTGTTTTATGTTCATTTTATTTCATTGTTCTAGTTGATTATTTCTGTACTGATGTCATGTTGTTTTAATTGCTGAGACTTTATAATGGATTTAAATATTTTAATATTTTGTAATGGATCTTGACATTTAAAAAAATGAAATCAATCTGCATTTACAAAAAAGAAAGAAAGAAAGAAAGAAAGAAAGAAAGAAAGAAAGAAAGAAAGAAGAAAGAAAGAAAGAAAGAAAGAAAGAAAGAAAGAAAGATATCCTACTTTTTGTGACAACATGGATGGAACTGGAGAATGTTATGCTAAGTGAAATAAGCCAGTTGGTGAAAGACAAATACCATATGATCTCACCCATAAGTGAAATCTATTCAACACAGTAAACTAATGAACAAAATAAACCACAGGCAAAGGAACATGCAGCAGACTGAAGGTGATCAGAGGGGATGGAGAAGGAGGACAATGGTGGAATGAAGAGAAGGGACTAAACAGAGAACATGTATGAATGACTCATGGACATGGGTGAAAGGGTGGTAATTGACGGGGGGGCAGGGTGGAAGGGAAAGGGGGAAAATTGAGAAAACTGTAATAGAATAAACATAATTTAAAAATAAAGACATAAAAAGAGAAAAAGCTATTTGACATTGGTCTTGAAAGTAATTTCCTAAATATGGCACCAAGAACTCAAGCAACAAAAGTAAAAATTAATAAATGTTCTTACACCACACTAAAGGGTTTCTGGAACAGCAAAAGAAACAATAAAAAAAAATGAAAAGGCAACCCGTGGAATGAAAAAAAAATTAAATCATGTATCTGATAAGAGATACATCCAAAATATGTAAAGAACTCATGATCCTACCAGTGCTTTGTGGATGAAGCATTGACTTGTGAACTGGAGGGTTGTCAGTTAGATTCTCAATCTAGGGCACATGCTCGGGTTGCTAGCTATGTCCTCACCAGGGGGACGTGTGAGAGGCAACCACATATTGATGTTTCTT